TCTCTATTTATACTATTTCTTAAATAAAAAATTCCAGTAAAGTCACAAACCTTCAACTTATTAGATTCATCTTTAGTCCAACGCGTCCTTTTTGGCGTTTTCATCTCATTATTTAAATTTTGCTTAGAAGTTTTTTCTGTAGCAGATGAACATTTTTTGGAGATTTTGAAGGTCCAGGTACCTTTTCTGGACTAGAATTTCGTCTAATTGGTGTTGTTTCCGGTCTCTGATCAGAATATAATTCTTCGAAAAACTCGTTTTTTACGAAAAATAACTGGAGTTGACGTTGCCCTTGGAGTTTTTTGTTCATCATTTCCGGAATCAGAAGAAGGAGAATAATCGACAAGTTTTAAAACATTCATTTTTAATAAAATATAATTGTCTAAAAAAATTTAGAGAAATTAATTTTTCAGAAAAAATAAAGTAAATAACCAAGCCATTTAATTTTGAAATTTAAATTAATTTACTAGAAAGTTTTCGTTTCGAAATTTTATTTTCAAAATAAATACAGTACCGGCAATATATTTACGACCACTTGTTAAAAAAATAAAACCATCAATAGAGAGAGTTTTTTTAGGTTAAAAAAACCGATAATAGGTACCTAAATAGGTTCGAAAAAAGGCTTAAATAGGTTCAAAAAAGTTCGAAAAGTGGCAAAATAGGTGCGAATTTTTAAAAATAGGCTTGAATTTTTAGAGATTTTTTCAATTTTGTGTTTTCAATTTATGGTTTTTCAATTTTCACGGCCCGTAATTCGGCCCTATCAAGTCAGATTGCGCTGATTTTGGTGTCAATCAACTCAGATAGAGAAGCTCTTTCAAATGAGCTATCATTCAAAAAATCGAATTTTTCACCTCAAAAATTTCTTTTCCCCCGTATAGTTGTTCGATATTTGGGGCTATGTAACTAAGCCCTATGAAGTCAGATCGCGTTGATTTTGGTGTTATTCGACTCAGCTTGGCGAGCTCTTTCGAACTAGTTACACCTTTGAGAGCTATTTTGAATAACATAAATATCGACATAAATCGGAGTCTTTGTCTTTAAAGCAATTTTTACCGATAATTGTGAAAAAATAACTCAAATTCTCAAAAATTTGCGAAAATAAAGACAATTTTTATGATTTCTATCAAAAAACCTAAAATAGGTTCAAAAAAGTCCAAAATAGGTTGCAAATAGGTTTTAGTAGAGATGTCCGAGACTCTTGGTCTTGGTCTTGGAACCAAGACTTTTCTTGGGTTTTTTCGGTCTTGGTCTTGGTCTTGGGGTGTTTGTCTTGGTCTTGTCTTGGTTTTATTTTTTGGTCTTGGTTTTTTGGACTTTTTGGACCTAGTGCTTGGCCATCCAAAATCGCCAAAATTTTCGCTTGCGGCGCTGGGATTTGAAAATTTTTGGCTTAAAATTCCTCAAAATTGTTTGAATTTCGCATAGATTTTTCGAAATTATAGGTGATTGTGCTGAAGTTGACTGTGATCGTGTCAAAATAACAAAAAATTAGCCAAAAATTAGACCTATGGGACCTAAAAATTGTCTCATGTTTTGTATTATTTTTGGTCTTGGAGTTTCGTTCTTGGTCTTGGAAAAAATTTTGTCTTGGGTCTTGAGTTTTGGAAAAATTTCGGTCTCGGACATCTCTAGGTTTTAGGTTCAAAAAGGCCGAAATAGGTTTTTTAGGTTCGAATAGGTCCAATATAGACTCATTATTTCGACCCAAAACAGTGTTTTTTGTGCATATCTCATCAAAACTAGTTCGCAAAAAAATAGAGAAAAACCTAAAAAAACTCCTAACCATCAATAACTCGATTAAATTATTTAGACAAATTTGGTAGAAAATTTTATGATAGATTAAGCTTACTGATAAGAAAGTAAAAGCATAAAATGAATGTTTTTGTGATGGGAAAGTATATTGAATGAAAAATAGAAAATAAATATTTCTTTATTTAAATAAAAATTAATGTAAACCAGCAAATTACTTAAATTATTACATCAGTTCTAGTTAATTTCTAGGATTGGAAGTAAATAAAAGGTTCCTTTTGATTAATTTGGACTGTCTGGATAATTTACTTCCCTCTGTTTATTTTTGATTAGGGGAGAAAGGGCAATATAAAGAAAAAAGTCAATCTTACTTAATATATGCCAAAGATTTTTAAACAAAAAATAAAAGAAAAGTACATGTCTATAAAATTGACCTAATATTTTTGAAGAATTTATAATTAAATTCAAAAAATTATATTAAACATATACCGTAAAACTAAACATTTTAAAAATAAAGGGACTTTTATTTTTAAATTTAAATGTGTATTTAATTTTTATTAAATTTACTTGTTATTTTTACTGCTTACTTTAGTCGAAATGTAAAGTCCAAATTATATTTATGAATGAAAAAACCAAAAATTGAGTGTATTAGAATATGGATGGAATAATCAAAAATATGGATAAAAATATTGGAAAAATCTCTAAATATGGACGAAATATGAATAAAAAAAGTTTAATTTTTACTCGATATTAAAACTAGCGTCTGGGGACAAAGAGAGATATATGTATAAGGGAAGATTACAATAGTTATAGATGCTTAACATATCTTCGAGAAAATCAACAGCTCTAGTCATCGAAATCATTGTCATTCAAACATACATATTAGAGCTGTCCGAGACCAAAATTTTCAAGACACAAGACCCAAGACAAAATTTTTTCCAAAACCAAGACTCAAGACCAAGACCGAAACTCCAAGACTCAAGACCAAAAATAATACAAAATTCGAGACAATTTTTAAACCCCATAGGTCAAATTTTTGATTATTTTTTTGTTATTTTGACACGATCACAGTCAACTTAAGCACAATTACCTATAATCTCGAAAAATCTATGCGAAATTCAAAGAATTTTTTTTGCGCCCAATGGGTCATTTATAATGGAATGGAAGAAATCTGGCCTCTTGCCCTTCCAAAATTCTCAAAATTTTCGCCTGTGGCGCAGGAAAAGGAAGATTTTTGGCTTCTTGTCCTGCAAATTCCCAAAATTTTCGCCTGCGGCGCTGGAAAAGGAAGAATTCTGGCTTCTTGCCCTACCAAAATTTTCGAAATTTTCGCCTGCGGCGCTAGGATGAAAAGATTTTTGGCTTAAAATTCCTTTAAATTTGTAAAAATTTTCGCCTGCGGCACAAAAAGATATGGATAAAATATTGGATGGATTTTTCAAATTCTTTTCCCCCGTAAATTTCTTTTCCCCCGTATAGTTGTTCGATATTTGGGGTCTTTTATAAGGTCTCTTAAAATCTTTTATAAGGTCTCTTAAAATGTGAAATTAAAGGCAAGATTTGTGTTTGATATGAATATTAAAGCATATTTTCGCCATTTTTTTGCTGGCAAATTAAGCTTGCAAATTAATTAAAAGAAAGATTTTTTCGGTAATAATGAAAGAAATAATTGGCAATGAAAGACAAAGGATGAAAGAAATGAGTGGCAAGAAGATTTGGGAATGACAAGAGGAAAATTTTAAAAATGGAAAAGTAAGCCAAGCAACATAAAATATAGCGTCTAAAACTTAGTCGGCTGTCAAAAATAGAAAAACATAGCAGTGAAAGGAAGAGAGAGAAAAAGTTAAATATATTACACTTAGTCTGCTGTCAACAAAAAAAGAGAAATATAACAGTGAAGGAAAAGAAAGAGAAAAACAAAGAAAAAATAGTTAAGTAAATCGGAAAATTAAAAAGAAAATTTTTTGACTTTATTACACCCATATTTTTGGATGAAAGAAATGTGAGAAATAGAAAAGTGTATATATTTAGATCGAAGATTATTAAACTAATAATTTAATATTGTAAAAAGAAGTTGTCAATAATGTGTTTTTCTTTTTTCAGACACAACCCCTCAATTTAAAATACACCCCATTATAAATTACTCCCTCATTTAATTACACCCCATTATAAGATACTCTCTTAATTAAATACACCCCATTATAAATTACACTCTTATTTAAATACACCCCATTATAAGATACTCTCTTAATTAAATACACCCCATTATAAATTACACTCTTATTTAAATACACCCCATTATAAGGGGGGTTATAAAAATTGGGGGGGCATATAAACACAAAAGTACCGATATTTTTTTAACAATTTTTAACTATTATGACCTTTAAGCTTGTCTTTTATTTTACCGCACTTTTCGTTAATATTAATTTTAAAAATTAGTTTCCCGTTGTTTCAGCATCATCAAATGTCACAAATATCAATATTTCGATACCCAAAAACTCCCGCAAAATATCAGTCAAAAGGTAATTAATCATTCATGATTAATTACCCTAATTAATCATGATTAATTACCTCAAATCAAAAGAAAAAGTGCCCTATAGGCACAGAAATTACCTATTAATCAGCTCAAAACCCCCCTTTAGGCACAGGTTTGATTGACAGGTGTGACATATGGTGTGACAAATGGGATGCACTGACTACTTTCGGCATATCTCGATAACCACTTTCATTAGTTTCACATTAAAAAATTTTACTTGTATTTCTTCATGTCAGTATTTCAAAAAGGAACCACGTAGAAATGTTAGACCAAATTCACCTACAGGCATACTGTCATAATCTGGATCAGCATCGTCTGGTAAGACAATAGTGGGCATTCCGCTATGAAAAGCTTGCAATAAAGTATGTTTCTAAAAAGTTTAGTTAGATATTATTAGACATAGTAAAAGGAAACAATCCCCTTGTATGCTCCTATAAAAGTATTCCTATCCGAGTTACCGTGGTGATAACCAGTGCTTGGACTCTCGTACCAACATTCGTACTGCGATTTGGTACAAACTACGAGTACGGACTAAGATAAAACACATTAAATACGAGTATCAGGCTAAAAGTAGGGGAAACTTATTCGAGCGGGTGGTTGAGTGGTGAAGATGTCCGAGATACCGTCGTTTGCACACCTACATAAGTCATTTATTAGCACATGTGCTTTTATTAAGAAACGTTGATTTAATTAAAAAAAATTTTTTCAAAAGGCGTTATCTTGCAAACGAAAATAAATGCAAATATAACTGTAAATGTTTGCCAGAACAATTGTCAGAAGGGAATAAAGATGAAAGACTCAAAACAAATTTGGCTAAATGTAGAAAATATAGACTTGAAAAATGTCTTAGTGTTGGAATGAAAAGATTGGGTTTGTTAAAATGTTTAAAAATAATTTTTGATAAAAAAATTATTTTAGATGTTGGATATGTACGTAGGGATATATGCCGGAAAGAGATGGAAAAACAATGGAACGAAATTAACGTAAATTTAATTATTTTATAATTAAAGATTATTATTAAGACATTATTAAGACATTTATTTATTTACCCTACTATCAGATATCTATCCGAGTTTTCCCCGTCCTGTCGCGAAAAGAATTTTAAATACCTATGTATATATGGGGAATATTTCATGAAGATATTACAAATCACGAGTAATATCAACCAATGGCAAGTTTTTAACAGAACTCGTAGAAGTACATATTTTCCTGAGCATCACCGTAATATAACTTTGCCTATTTATATTTTAATTTATTTATTTTTTTATATAATTCGTGAAAAAATAAAAAATTTTCCCCGTCCTGCCCCGCCCCCCCGTGGCGTTGCCTCCCCGAAAATTTTTCCCCGTGCCCCCCCCCGTCGTGGAACAATCCTACTATCAGATATCTAGCCGAGTCGATTTTAGATACCAGAATACGTGAATTCCCGATGTTGTTTGATCGGGTTCAGATTTTCTGTAATAATGAATTTCTCTTTTATGACGGTTAGTTACCTAATCCCTATATATAGAGTATATTTATGAAGATATTAACAATTCCAAGAAATATCTACCAGTGCCAAGTATATATAGCTTGAGAAAGTACATTACCGTACTTTTTCATTGCTCTTAGATAAAGAATTTTTATTCTTTGCCTTCAAAATTTTACTAAACTTATTCTTTTTAAGCTTCAAAATCATCAAATTGTCGATATATCCATCAATGATCAAAACCAAATTGATTTAATGTTACCAATTATTGAAGCCAAAAAACGTATTATGCATTCATTTAATGATTTGGATGATATATTTCTTCACGGACCAATTTTGTTTGAAGAAATAATTTTATCTAATTTTAATATTTTTCGCTTAGTTGATCATTTTTCGGTAAATTTTTAACTAATTTTTAATAAAAATTTTGATTTAAAGCCAAATCCATGTCCAATATCTGTTGATGAATTAAAAAGTTGGGAATCTTCATTTCAGAATGAAGGAATGCTAAATAACCGTTTTCATAAATTTAGTTGACAGACTTTTGTGTTTTGGTATAGCTAAATCTATACCTGTTTTTGAAAAATTGACTTTATCTGATCAGGTGTTTTATGTAAATTTATTTTTAATTTTCTTATAAGAGCAATTTGATATTATGATCGTTCAGAAAAATATAAATTATCCGCCCTTGTGGTAGTTTGAATTTTGAGCAAGTAATTGAATTCGGAGAGCTCGTTGGACCACTAATTCTGAAAGGGTATTCTGCCTTTTAACTACTAAAATGATTAAGTCAACGGAAATCGGAACTGTCGGAAATTTTCTAAGAAGGAAATCGCAATTTGACCTACCACATTTTGAACTTTCAAAACTTTATTTTTTTAAATAGATTAAACATCTAAGGCATATTTCTTATTTGTTTACTGCATTTACAAGCAGCTACCTAGCTTGGGAATTAGGCTCTGAAACTTGGACACGTAAAGATAATGTTATGCCTGCTCTTGGCATTGCGAAGAATAATGTATTTTTACATGATGATAAGTAAATTTTAGTCAAAAAAATTAAAAAAATTTTTTGTCAGAAGATATTAAAAATATTTATTTACTTTTTAGGATAATTTAATTATACCTTTTAGGATAATTAATATTCTAATCATTCAATTAGAATAAATACGGTATGTTAAAATATCTTTGTGAACGTCCGCTTTATAAAGATATAATGTTCAAGGTAGATTTTTACGTTGGGTTAACTATGATTTTTTAAAATTATTATTGATGTATCCTTAACAAAAATAAAAAGAGAAAACAATGCTTTTAGTCCCATTAGGCGTATATTTGATCAAATGCTGGTTAAATATAATAATAAAATTGTACATCTCCATAATACAATGGTTTTTATATAAATATTATTTTTGCACGTAAAATAATAAAAAATGCCCAAAATTTATCCAAAAAATTTAATAAAAATATTTAAAAATTTTATTTGTTATTTTATATTTTCTATCAGTTCCGGTCAAGAATGTGCTGATAAAAATATTCCCGGGAGGCCGTCAGACTGTCCAATGTTAAAATATCTTTGTGAACGTCCACTTTATAAAGATATAATGTCTAAAGAATGCCCAAGGTAGATTTTTAAAAGTTGGTTTATCCCAAACTTATAAGGAGTTTATTTTTTATTCTCTGGAATGTCATTTAACATTTTTATTTTTTTATTTTAAAATCATCAATTGCGAATATCGATAATGAATGGTAATGTATGATAATTGTAAGATATAGTAGGAGTATATAGTGGGCGGCGGTAGGTTGGGCGACGGTAGATTGGCATGTTCCACGACAGAGCTACCGGGATGCTGCTTGTGAGCGTTTAAGTGAGCGAAATGTCGCGATTGTGTTCCACAAAGATTTTAAATTCTAGGGCTGTACTTTAGTATAGGTCCACCGAGATCGGAACTCATAATATATACCATTCGATTCGTCTCGCCGAGCTGAGTTCAAATATGCAAGAATTTTCTGCGGGACGCGAAAACTCGCAAAGATACAGGCGCTTGAAAATCGAAAAACCATAGGGGGGACCAAGCTCGATTTTGGGGTGAAAAATTCGAATATGCAAATTATACCTCATTCGAAAGAGCTCGTCGAGCTGAGTCGAATGACACCAAAGTCAACGAAATCCGACTTGATAGGACCGAGATATAGGCCCCTAAAAACCGAAGATCCAAAGGGGCGATTTTTGGAATAAAAAATTTTTTATACAAATTATAACTCATTCGAAAGAGCTCGACGAGCTGAGTCGAATGACACCAAAATCACCGTGATTGAAAAAGATTAGAAAAAGTTACGACGCAAAAAACAAAATACCTAAACCTATGGAGCGTCGGCGAGGCGCTTGTGCAAAACCCCGCGCTTCGCGCGGGGTTTTGCGGCACGCGCCTCGCGGGGAGTCTACGGGCGATGGGTCTGGGCTCGTAACATAAACCTATTCCTATCTCCCTTGCTCTGGACGTATTTGGGGCCTCCGTAGCAGCAAAAATCTCCACAGATGCCATAGGTAAGGAGCTAAAACAAACGGTCATAACTTTGTCAAATCATGTTGGATTTTGTTGATTTTGGTGTCATTCGACTCAGCTCGACGAGCTCTTTCGAATGAGGTATAATTTGCATATTCGAATTTTTCACCCCAAAATCGAGCTTGGTCCCCCCTATGGTTTTTCGATTTTCAAGCGCCTGTATCTTTGCGAGTTTTCGCGTCCCGCAGAAAATTCTTGCATATTTGAACTCAGCTCGGCGAGACGAATCGAATGGTATATATTATGAGTTCCGATCTCGGTGGACCTATACTAAAGCGACCCCAATTCTAGTGTCAATCGACACTAGCAATCGAAATGTCGCGATTTTGGCGAGTATTTTATGAATATTTCCATTAACTTTTTATATTTGTATGTAAAATAAGTGTTTTTAAACTAGGGTTGTACCCCGAACGCTCGGGGGCGGGTATGTCGGGGTACGGGGTTTTCCAATTGTTTCGGGGCGGGGTTTGGGTCGGGGGAGCAAAATATGGCCGGGGTTCGGGTCGGGGTACGGGGGTTTAGTGGAAAAATTTTTAGAGAAAAAAATGCTCAAAAATAATTAGAAATCGGTATATGTTCGTTGATTTATTCAAAAATTAAGTAGGATTTGAAGAAATTAGAGGGGATTTGAAGGGATTAAAGTGTATAACATTGGATATAAGTAGATCTGGAGGGATTAAGTGGGATTTTTAGGGATTAAATGGTATATCTAGGGATACAAGGTGATCTGGAGTGATTTTTGTTGGTTCAAGGGATATTAGTGATTTATAAGGATACTGATGTATTGCGGATAAGGGTATTTGGACGGACATCAGGAGATATCTGGGATTAATCCTTAAATCTTCCACGAAATCCATGTTAATTCTACATATATCCGTTAAATTCACGTAATACTTTCAAATTTATTTTAATTTAAACCTTAGATCCCTTTAAATCCCTTTAACTCCTTAATTCTTCGATATCCTACAGATCCCTTTATATCTCTGATTCCCGTTAACAGGACCTCGATATTTATGGTTGGGAATAAGGTTGGCGGATCCGGATCCGAAAAAAGGCCGGATATCCGGAAATTTTCGGTTCGGATTTTTCCGAACCGATATATATATGGATCCGAACCCAATCCTATATTAATGAAATATCGGCTAAAACCAACGACTAAGCCACTCAACTACAAGTCTCTTAATAAAGAAGGAAAGAAAATTATGATATTTCATTCATTTTTCTTTCAAAAATAATAAAAGCAAGTAAAATGGGTGGAAATTTTTTAAATTTTCTTCATTATTTTAACCAAAAAATGACATTTTTTAGGGGTATAAAACCACGATAACCCCGAAACTTTTCGGGTCGGGGAACGGGGTTTTCACTTTTTTCGGGTCGGGGAGAATCGTGAAAAAATCGTTCGGGAACGGGGTCGGGGTACAACTCTATTTTAAACTTAATTGGGGGTAATCGTGAAGAATTGGGGATACACTTTCTAAAACCTTACAAATTATTATTATTCTCTGAAAATCATTTTATATAGGTAATCGACTATGCTGATCACGAATCTTATATCAGATTTTGTCAAATAAGACATTTTATCTATGATTCTTTATCATGTACTTGATATGGGGTTCCTTCTATCCCCGATATCGGTGGATTAAGAGGCATGTCGATGCAAATGTTCGGAATCAACCAAGCCTTTACAATCGGAGGCTGACATTCATCAAAAATTTGCTGCCACACCTTTTTCTTTGTTTCCCACGTTAATTTACTTGAGAATTGCACAAAGAGGTCCTTTTTTCGTTCGGAAACAATTTTTCTGTTTTCGTCCATTTTAAAAAAAATTCTCAAAAATTAAGAAAATAATTTAAGGCAAAAAATAAATAGACAAAATTTAAAGAAAACCAAAGATTTTAAAGATGACAACGACATTTTGACAATGACATAGGCTGATTTCCTTATTGGAAGACAATCGTATGTCAATGTCGACA